TGAAATTGTCCTGGAACTGGCAAATGATAATAAGATATATAATATATAATAAGATCAAAAACCTAATGGATCCTACTGGTAATCAAATTGTCAGCTACTGACCATACTAAAAAATGTCCCCGACGCCTCCATTTTGCTGGTCTGCAGCTCATTTTCCTGCTCAAGCGAAACCAGAGAACCCATCGAACTTTCAATGTTTATGGTATTCCCAGAAGCTTATCAAAGCTTTCAATACAATTGCTCATGCACATCTCCTAGTAGGTGTGATTTGAGGCAATTCCAAATCTATACAAATGTCTGCGGATCTCCATGTGAAGCATCAATACCTGCACGCCATCCCTGCCTTTTCACGTAAAGCCTTGAATTCGATGAGTTCTCGCTCCTCCTGGACAACGGATGGCATGCAGCAGAAGGGCTGCCGCCCGTCGAACTGGCAACAGCTAGTGACAGAGTGAGGCCTAGAATATTTCAAATGTAGCCTTGCTCTCAGCTGTTCTGGAAGTACAACTCAATTGTAGGAGCCCTGGAATTGTTTAGTACAGTTTTGTGCTTACACTGGCCCATTCTGACCAGCTTTGCAGGTCTCTCCCCTCTACCACTCTGCCCTGTTTTATCCACTCCTGCGACTTCAACTTCCGTGCCTGACAGAGGACAGAGGGAGAAACTAAAGCTGCCTGGTCCCCACATATACATTCAATGCCGGCATTTGTGATTGGCAAACCTCCAACTACGCGACACTTCTCCAAAAATCTACACTTGAAATTCCCCACACTCATAGCACACCGCAGCATCTCAGTAGAAAGCTCAAGACTTACATTCAAAACCGTCAGCCCTGCAAACCCCTCAAAATACTGCCTTGCAGCGACAAGCAAAGCGCTCAATGATATGTGATCACACCTCTAGCAAGTCCCAGTGCAGGCGTTCAGCTTCTCCTCTGGCTGCCTGCCATCACCATATCGCGAAAGTGCGACATGGCAAGGACTGGCTTCCTCTAGAGTCTTGCCATCAACTCTCCAGCAGCTAGTTGTAAGTTTCCATGCTGTTTGTTTCCGTTTAATACATCCCCCACAACAAGGACCAAGACCAAAATAGGGCTGAAGCAGGGCACCTCCAGTTGGCAGCGTAACTCTGCCATCTCCTTCTGGGCCTGCCAGTGATGCAGAAAATCCTTGATGCTGGAATCCCAAAACTTAACGCCTTACTGGTAATCTGCTCCTGTCCACGTCCCTGCCTGTAGCACTTCAGGTCTCACCTCTGCACTGCTCACCTGCATGGGATAGGTGTTGCCACTTGGAAAACTGTTTGCCATACCAGAGTTTACCAGAGATCTATTTTTTGTCCCAACAAGTCGAGTAAAACGCCACAGCATCCACTTGAACAAACTCAGCTGCAATGTCCCTGGGACTTTTTTTCTGGCAGAACCCGGGAATGGTGGGATCCGTCTAAGATTCGGTGATGGGCGCTCATCACGGATGTGGTCCTTTCACGGCGAGAGCGCAATAGAAAAACTTCAGGATTGTTCGGTCCACATCTGCCTTTTCAAATAAAAAAATCAAACGTTGGAGTTGTAGCGCCGCGAGTTTGTATAGAACTTGCTCCAAGAGATCCAGGGATGAGAAAAAGAAAAAGGTCAGGTCCTTTGGGCTCATTGGCCTTGGCCATCCACTCGCCTGTCGGGAAATTCCAGGTTTCTTCAGCTCAGCGTTGCTCCCCACAGCAACTTGAATCTTGGTGAAGGATTCCATACACATGGGCATATCCTGTAGGTCTGAATTGTCTGCAACGAAGGGAGCAATTCCCCTCTTGCCTTGCTGGGACTTGGCGTCTTTGCTTTTATCTCCACCTTCGCGCTGCTGGAGACAAAAATACTGGGCACAGTGCACTTCTCCAAATTTAATCCTCTTGACTAAGTAATGCCATGATGGATTCGTGTGATTGTGGAGTCTTTGCACTCTCTTACTGCCTTTTTGCGAGCCTGAACCGTCGTTCGCGCCGGTGGCGTTTGCACTAGAGCGGGTGTTTGCACAGCTTTTGGCGTCTGCACAGGTTCCTTCGATCAGCAAAACAGATTACCAAGACTTCTCCACAGCACTGCTAGGATCCACTGCACTATTACAATGTCAGAGCAGAGGAAGATGACTGGAAGAGTTTGGACTTTCAGCCGTCCTCCACAGCATGTGCTTGTTCAATCGCTGCCTGCTCCCACATAGGGCTGGTAACCTGCAAAAGACTCTCTGTGTGGCTCATGATATGTGCAGGCTATCATATATTATCATTATATATATATATATACATTATATATAACATGAAAAAGGATGATTTGGCAAACGAGGACATGGAGTAAATTGCCTCCGTTGAGGGCAGCGCCACACTGGGGGAGGAGGCTGAAGATTCCACCTGGATTTCAGTGAACAGCAATGACTTGGTCACAAGGTCTTGCCATCCCAGGTTTGTAGGATCGCATGAGAAAGGAATGACAGATTGAGGAGTCCCTTCAAGTTTCTTCCAAGGAAAGTATGGATTCTTTCAGTGCGGAACCTCGTGCACATCAACAGGTTGAAAATACATCATATCATATCATATCATATCCAGCACTGAATGCGAAGTCAGTGACGTATCTAAAATTCAAGAGATAAGAGCTCAACGCAAAGATGACCTTGCCAAACATCAAACATGCAATTTCGTCAGCTCTTGTAATTGGGAAAAGTGGACGGCTTCAAGAGTGCACTGGCACAGGTAGATGTCCACATGGTCCACATGCATCATCTGTAACATCTCCAGAAATCTCCAGAATTGCCATGGAATTCAACAATATAAGTCTGCAAAAGACCAATGGAAAAATGATACCAATACCCTCAGGTCCAAAGTCGCCTTCGCAGGGGAAAGGCTAAGACCACTTGCCTCTAAAATACCTCAGGAATCCAGGAAGATATTCAAAACAGGGCAATTGTGGCTGCAAATTTCATGGTAAGACAAGAGCTTTCAAACTCTGACATCGTTCCATTTGTTTCTGGAAAAATGTATCTTACTTAAGCTTCGGCAGTTGGTCGAATCCTGCTGGTCGGTCCACGGCCAAGTTATGTCAAGTTGCTGGGCACCACCCGTCGATCCCAGGCCACTTCCTGACCAGTCAGCTCTGCCATCACCTCCTCCCGCAGGGCCAAGTGCTGGGAACGTGTCTGTCGAAGTGCCTCACCATCTGAAGCGCGGCGCTTCAAAGAGTTTGGTTGAAGAACGGTTCAATACTTTTTACATCTTTTTACTTTATCAACATTCATATTGTATATCAACTTATATCGACTTGGTCTTCCACAAGTCACATGAGTGTCGCAACCCGTGCCACAGGGCACAGCCTCAAGGCCCTTCTGCAACTCATCTTTGGCCTCTGCCAGCTCCAGGTTCTTGGCACCCAAACCGCTCTCCTGAGTTGCTACGGCTGCACAATTGATTCCAATCTTCAAGGTCTCAATGGGTTGGGTATTTCATGGTGTTTGATGGCATCTGGGTATTTGGTATGGTGTCAATTGATCCCCACTGGTGTATCCAACTGTATGATACATCTTTATACACCGACCCAGCCTCAGCAGCCTTTGACGACCCGGATGCGAAGACCCGCAGCCGAGAAGAGCGCAAACTGGAGATCTGCTGGGAAATGCGCTGGAAAGCTTCCTCACAGGCCGCGGGTGTGACATATGGAAACTACATAATCTTTCAGCAAGGATCTGAATAGGCACAAGGGATCAAAAGGGCTGGTCAAGCAATTAAGTAATCAAACAAATTGCCAATCGCAGTACTCGATGTGGGCAAAGCTTGGCCTGCGCTTTGGCTAAGTGCTTTGGCAGCACGTCCTGCACTCAGTGATATGGACAGCAAATGGAGTGCGATATTTCAACTTGCAGACACCTTGGGGCTTCATCACTGTTTTTGACAATGTCTCGTCGACAGTGAGTCCTGATCTTCATCCCCATTGTCTGCAATGGCAGCTGAAAGCATGGCTACTACAGGAAGGCGCAAGCCATTTGTAAATCTGTCTGCGTTTCTGCTTTTCCTGGCTTTGGTACCAGTTAGCTGTGTCTTTGCGTTGCCTTCTGCTACATTTTCTTTGGTCATGAGTTTTGTTGATGCAGGTGTCATCAGGTGTTCTGACTTGAAAAGTGCTACAGAAGCGGTTGAAAGCTCGCGTCCCTGAGACAAGCCGACTTACAGCCTTCAAGCCCCCTCTTCGCTGTCTTCCGCGGTGCAGACAGTTGACAGACTTCAAATTTCTGCATGAAAGCCTAAAATATCCTAAAATGGCGCCTCAATGAGAGCCTCGACCATACCCCGCAGATCATAACTTGGCACGCCTGCACTGAATTCACATCACCAAAACCAAACTGTCTGAAGCATACTCTCAACCCACTAGCATCCGGCTGTGCTGCTCTCTGTCGACTGCACTCTGATCTTGGCGTGAGGACGCCGTCCAAGCACCAGGCACTGCTCAATTTCACCCTCTTCACTCACCTGATGAATTGCTTCAAAAACCGCAAAGTTGTACTTGTTGGCAGAATTGGGCTTTGATTGGTCAAAGTCAGAACTTGGCAAACATGTGTGGACCAGGCAGTCGAAGGTATTTCCATTTTTTGCTCACTGTAAGCCATACTCTTCTCTCATCTTGGTGAGAGGTAAGCCTCTGAATATGTCATGGGGATGTTGGTTTATGAAGAAAGAACGAGAGATAGTGAAAGTGTCTGATCGGTTGTAGAAGTACAAAGCATGCGACTATGACTAAAAGCACATTCAAACGCAGGTACTGGCCGTGGCAAATAAGCAGGAGAAACTGATTCTTCTTCAGGAGCTGGTTTTGAAGCGAAACCTCCCTTGCTCTGTGAATCTCATTTTGCAGCGATGCCTTTGAGCGATCACTGTGCACCGGAACCCCATTAGAGTGCCAGTATGTGAAACGGTGCTGAAAGCCCACAGCTCAGCATAGGGCAGATTTCAATGCCCCCAACATGCTCGCTTGATGGTGTTTGTTCCAGTCACATCTTTGGCACACAGTAAATAACAATAAATAACAATTCGGGCATGAAAGGTTTTTCTGCGGAAAAAAAATTAGAAGAAACTGTGCGACCGGTCGCCAGTCAAACTAACCTCACAACCTCACAACCTCGCCACCTCGCCATTTCCGTCGAGCCTCAGCCTCTCAAGGCTCTGAATCCCTGTGGTGGTCGATTGCCCTTCACTGCCTTGACCCAGCGTCGGAACCAGCAGCCCATTCCAACAGCCTGGCAGCAAACATATGTAAAAGTGCGAGATGTTTCAAGCACTGCTGTCGAGCTGCAACTGTCGACACCTTTTGCTGTTGCACGCACTCAATCTGTATGTTGTCAACAGGAGTTGACTCAAGGCCTTGAACCACAGGCCAGTGTTGATATGACATGTTGAATGTGTACATTGACACGACCCCTCAGATGTTGGCTATGTTAGCCAGCAGATGTTGACTATATATTCTACATGGGTCTGTGTTCACTAAACGTTGCAACTAATGTTGAAACTATAAACATGTTGAAACTGAAACAGCATTTTGTTGACTACTCACGCATGAGTGTTGGTTCATCCTCTGTACAAATGCCGATGGCTTGGTTATCTTTATACACCTGTGGCAGCCGCAGGTGTTGGACGGAAAAAAACACTTGCTTAATTATGCGCACTTCAAGCTCTCATGTGTTGAGCGTCATGTTGCGCAGGGCTCTGTTGTTTTGGTGCTTCTGCACCGGGATGTTGTCTGAGCTCCACCCCTGTTGTGATCATTGTTGATCACTCTGCGTTGTTCTCTTCCATGTTGTCTTCCATGCCGGTTGGCTCACGATACTTGTTCACTTCATCGAAGTGCTGTTGGAGGTGCTCATCTGTTGATTGCTCCATCAGCCATAATGCCAGTGTTGAAGATCCCCTCAACCTCTCTGGTGTCTTCACACCAAAGTATTGGAATTGTTGTCCTCCTTCAAGGAGAGGATGCCACTTGTTGAGGACCATCCTGATTTTGGTCCTTGCTGCCTCTGGCAAGAGTTCCAGTTGTTGAGTGCCACCGTACTGAATGGCTTGTTGAAGCATGTAGATGAGATGTTGTGGGATCTCATCTCCAACTGTTGCCAAAATCACAGGAGTGTTGTAACTCCAAATGAAGTTGTTTGACCAGCTGAGCATGTTGAAAATGTCGAGGAACCCTTGTTCCCTGTTGAGTGCCCACAACTGTTGAGTGACCAGTTCTGTTGACACAAAAAT